CCATGTTTCTCCATCATTAACACCAGTCAATTTGGCCATCAATGTTGTATTACCTTGAGCTACCATTACAGCAAGTGTTTGAGGAGGATGGCGACCTTGGTAGACAAAATCAAATTGATGATAGCAGTCCAATGCCTTGTGACTGAGTTTCCCACAGATTTGACAGCTTTCACGTGTTCCAGTGGGTGTTTGTGCTTGGTGGGTTACAAGCTGAGAAGAAGCAGAACTTGCTAGTGAGGAAGAAGTCTTATAGAAAGTCTTTGGCTTGGCTTGATTGCGCTGAAATTGAAGAGTTGAGTGCTTAGAAAATAAAGCAAAAGAGCTTTCTGGTGCAACAGTTCGTTGATGAGATTCAAGAAGTATCTCAAAGGAAATTAACTCAGCCTGAAAATCCTCAAACAATATACTCTTGTCTCGAGTGACAATATTAATGGAGTTCTGGAATGGAATAAATGATGAATTCAAGCCACTCAACAGAGTTGACACAACATCATCTTCATCAAAATTCTTTCCAGCAGATACAAGTTGGTCGACAAGATTTTTTGCAAGTGCCAAATATTCAGAACAGGTACAATTCTCTTGACGCAAACTACGTAATTGACGTTGTAGAAGATTGATTCTAGAACATTATTGGGAAGCAAATCTTGTGGAAAGTGATGACCAAACTTGTTTGGCAGTGATAAGTCCATAGACCATTGACATAACTTTTGGAGTTAGTGTTGCATTGATCCATGAAAGAACAAATTGGTCTTTCTTGTTCCATACAAGATACTGAGGATTGACATTACCAGTGGTTTGGCCATTCTCAGCAGGGAGATGATGATCTGGGCACGGTTTAGAGCCATCCATGAAACCCATCAGATCATTAGACTTTAACACAGGAATGAATTGGGAAAGCCATTGAAGATAGTTTTCTCCATCGATCTTAACTGAAATGAGTTGCCCAATATTGGGGGCAATGAAGGCAGGTGCGGAAGCAGTATCATTTGACAGAGCCATAAAAGAGGTGCAAAAATTAGTGATGAGTTATTGGCTTAAATGGCTCTGATACCATGAAAGAAAAAGAAAGCTTTTTATGTATTTTCATAATCAAAACGTTACATCTTTGCAGTATATATGCTGATACAAGATAAAAAGATTAGTTTACAAATGACCTTATCATGAAGTTTAAGAAAACTAGATTACAAATAAAACAAATAGATCTTATCAGGAAGTTGCAATGCTAGTCTTCATGCTTATTAGGTAGAGAAGAGTTGGAGTTGGAGTGTATCTTTGTGGCTTCATTAACATGGTGGTGGTGGTGGTTGGCAACGGGTAATGGTGGGTAACGACAATGATGGGTGGTGGTGCGGGGTGGTGAATGGTGGTGACAGCAGTGGGATGATAATAATAGTGTTGATAAATATAATGATGGTGAATGTTTTTAAATAGAGTAATATTATTTTGACATAAAAATTTGGCTTAATTTACTGACATAATGATGTGGCTTCAATAGAGTCATTAGATCAACACTAAGTTCTAATGTTTAATGGGCCCTATAGTTAATCCAAAAGTCATAATGAATTAGGTCAACAAATTAGGTCAGTAAATTAGGTCCTAATAGAATTGTTCTTTTAGATAACCTCATAATGATAGTGTTAATATTAGACTTTAACATAGGAATGAATTGGGAAAGCCATTGGAGATAGTTTTCTCCATCGAGCTTAACTGAAATGAGTTGCCCAATATTGGGGGCAATGAAGGCAGGTGCGGAAGCAGTATCATTTGAGAGAGCCATAAAAAAGGTGCAAGAATCAGTGATGAGCTGTTGGCTTAAATGGCTCTGATACCATGAAAGAATATAAGAAAGCTTTTTATGTATTTCATAATCAGAACGTTACATCTCTGCAGTATATATGCTGATACAAGATAAGAAGATTAGTTTACAAATGACCTTATAATGAAGTTTAAGATAACTAGATTACGAATAAAACAAATAGATCTTATCATAAAGTTGCAATGCTAGTCTTCATGCTTATCAAGTAGAGAAGAGTTGGAGTTGGAGTGTATCTCTATGACTTCATTAACATGGTGGTGGTGGTGGTTGGCAACAGGTAATGGTGGGCAGCGACGATGATGGGTGGTGGTGGTGCGGGGGTGGTGAATGGTGGTGACGACAGTGGGATGATAATAATAGTGTTAATAAATATAATGATGGTGAAAGTTTTTAAATAGAGTAATATTATTTTGACCTAAAAATCTGACTTAATTTGCTGACATAATGATGTGGCTTCAATAGAGTCATTGGATCAACACCAAGTTTTAATGTTTGATGGACCTTATAGTTAATCTAAAAGTCATAGTGAATTAGGCCACAAATTAGATTAATAAATTAGGTCTCAATAGCATTGTTCTTTTAAATAACCTCATAATGATAGTGTTAATATTAGACTTTAACACAGGAATGAATTGGGAAAGTCATTGGAGATAGTTTTCTCCATCGAGCTTAACTGAAATGAGTTTCCCAATATTGGGGGTAATGAAGACAGGTGCGAAACCAGTATCATTTGAGAGAGCCATAAAAGAGGTGCAAGAATCAATTATGAGCTGTTGGCTTGAATGGCTCTGATACCATGAAAGAATATAAGAAAGCTTTTTATGTATTTCATAATCAAAACGTTACATCTCTGCAGTCTATATGTTGATACATGATAAGAATATTAGTTTACAAATGACCTTATCATGAAGTTTAAGATAACTAGATTACAAATAAAACAAATAGATCTTATCAGGAAATTGCAATGCTAGTCTTCATGCTTATCAGGTAGAGAAGAGTTGGAGTTTGAGTGTATCTCTGTGGCTTCATTAACATGGTGGTGGTGGTTGGCAACGGGTAATGGTGGGTAGCGACGATGATGGGTGGTGGTGGTGCGGGGGTGGTGAATGGTGGTGACGGCAATGGGATGATAATGATAGTGTTAATAAATATAATGATGGTGAAAGTTTTTAAATAGAGTAATATTATTTTGACCTAAAAATCTGACATAATGATGTGGCTTCAATAGAGCTATTGGATCAACACCAAGTTTCAATGTTTGATGGGCCCTACAGTTAATCTAAAAGTCATAGTGAATTAGGCCACAAATTAGGTTAATAAATTAGGTCTCAATAGCATTGTTCTTTTAAATAACCTCATAATGATAGTGTTAATATTAGACTTTAACACAGGAATGAATTGGGAAAGTCGTTGGAAATAGTTTTCTCCATCGAGCTTAACTGAAATGAGTTTCCCAATATTTGGGGCAATGAAGATAGGTGCAGAAGCAGTATCATTTGAGAGAGCCATAAAAGAGATGCAAGAATCAGGGATGAGCTGTTGGCTTGAATGGCTCTGATACCATGAAAGAATATAAGAAAGCTTTTTATGTATTTCATAATCAAAACGTTACATCCCTGCAGTATATATGTTGATACAAGATAAGAAGATTAGTTTACAAATGACCTTATCATGAAGTTTAAGATAACTAGATTACAAATAAAACAAATAGCTCTTATCAGGAAGTTGCAATGCTAGTCTTCATGCTTATCAGGTAGAGAAAAGTTGGAGTTTGAGTGTATCTCTGTGGCTTCATTAACATGGTGGTGGTGGTTGGCAACGGGTAATGGTGGGCAGCGACGATGATAGGTGGTGGTGGTGCAGGGTTGGTGAATGGTGGTGACGGCAATGGGATGATAATGATAGTGTTAATAAATATAATGATAGTAAAAGTTTTTAAATAGAGTAATATTATTTTAACCTAAAAATTTGACCTAATTTGCTGACATAATGATGTGATTTCAATAGAGACATTGGATCAATACCAAGTTTTAATGTTTGATGGGCCCTACATTTAATTCAAAAATCATAGTGAATTAGGTCAGTTAATTAGGTTTTAATAGTATTACTCTTTTAAATAACCTCATAATGATAGTGTTGATAAATATAAAAATGGAATGATGCTGAAAATTTTTAAATAATCTTTTTCATTAAGAGTGTTTCTGTCAAATATTATTTTTATAGACTTTTATCCTTAAAAGTGGCTGGGTTAAATCTAAAACCTAAAAAGTGTACAGAATGTTGACGTGTGATCCTTTTTCCCAAACAAAAAAAAAAAAAAAAAAGAGCTAGAGCGACCAAGGGAGTTGGAATATCTCTCCCCCTCTCTCGTTAGATTCTCCGGTTGGAAAAAATTATTGGACTCCAAGCCCATATTCGTAAAGCAGAAGATGGATATGTGGGCAGGCCTACATTTTTGTTTTTGTGATACACACACAACAAGAAAGACACTCCTTTTCTTATCAAACCCATTGAAGGAATGTATTTCTTGTGTAAATGGACAAACACATTCATTCTCTAAATTATTATTATGATAACATCGAGGGTTATGTAATTATTTAAATATTAAATATTTTAGATAAACAATTTTCTTTTACAATTTGAGAAGAAAAATTAGTGTTTTAATTTTTGTATGCAATTTTTTTTTCTAACATACCATTTTAATTGATAAAATCCGTCAAGGTATAATAGGAGATATAATAGTAAGATAAGTATAAGGCCGATGCAGATAAGTATAGACGGATCGAATTATTTTATGCAATGAAAATTAAAGGACGAGTTTTATTTAATAGGGAGGGTCTGATATAAAACAACAATTAGCTTTTTCTTTATTTTTATTTGTATTTTTTATTTTTATGATTTGTTTAGCATGAGAATTTACTGGCTCAAATCAAGTAAAGGTAAAGACAAATTTACCATCAATCATTCGCTTTGAGAAACACATACTCTGTTACCAAGAAATCTAATTGCAAGCAGCAGACATGAACGGAAAGCAGAAGAACAAGCAGCAGGGAAAGCAAAAGAAGAATATTTCCACAATGGAACCATCACAAGAAGAAATGAGTGAGGTGTTTAAAGTTGCCCTAGGAATGAACCAGAACCAGAACCAGAAACACATTCTCATCCTCAAAAGCTTTTGGCTTTGCTAAAAAGCATTAAATGTTAAACCAGAGCCTCCCAACTTCTCTTCCATGATTTTCTCCAAACGATCCGCCATGGAAGGAGAAAGATGATTCGCCCAGTCACCAACTTGGCCTTTCCTGAACAAGGAACTGTATTGTACCACCGGAACCAGTCTACCGCCGACTCGATTAACTTCCAAATTTTTCAAATTTTCAAAGCTACAAAGGTTTGATATTTGTTTAACCAACTCTTGTTTTTCTTCCTCAACAGAAAAAGGGAATCCCATGAATTCAGCTAGCTTCCTCACATGGGAGGTTACATCCTCCTTCAAGTCTTCATATTTCAGAAACAACACCTTCTGACTCTCTATGCTTGCTCCCCAGTACCCCAAAACATGGTCCCAAAATGGTCCAAAATTTTGTATGCCTCTACAAAACAGCTCGAAACCTTCATCTAGTGAAAAAGTCTCCGAATTTTCATACTGGTTTTTTAGTACGAAATGCCAATAGGAGATGAACTGGTCCAAAGGGTTCCTACCAATATACACAATACGACATCTAGAATTCACAATAGACTGAGGTAGTGCATTGTAGGGTACGTGGGTAGCAAATATTCTGGGACAAGGAAGGTCCTCAAGATTAGGTTTTTCATCTTTAGAATAGAGATCAAACTCAAAGAAACGAACAAGCTCATGTGGGTTGGTTGTGAGCAAGGGACTTTGGGAGAGAGGGAATTTGGTACGATTTACTATACTGAAAATGAGGGCCTTTAACCAAGTGGTGCCTGATTTTGGCAAGGTAGCAAGCAAGATATCACTGTCGTGCGCTTCGAAGTGTCGTTGAAAGGGGATAATGCCCCGCACTGCATATGATGAACACCAAAAGTCCTTGTAATGATAGCGATAAGGGCCATCAAAATGTCTCTGTTTGGGAAGAGTATCCAGCAACTCTTGAAATTCATCCCTCGGCTCTGTAACTTCTTTTGACATGCAACTTTTGGAGATTTTTGACGACTCCATGTGGAATTTGGAAATAAATAATATAGAGGGATTAGATAGGAGTGAGGTGAGCTAGGGTTTAAAGGAATGCAAGATGAAATTGGGTATAAGAAGGGAATTAGGAAACCAAGAGGCTAGCTCAAGCTTTTATAGAAGAGTAGTGCTAGCTAGCTCCATAAACTAAAGTCGTGAGTTTTAATGTTGGATAAAATTTATTTTAAATTTTTATAGTTTTAATTGATTAGGTTTCTATATTAAGTCTAAATAACATTTTCATTTATAGAAACTAGAGTAGGGACCAAACCTAATATTTAATATTTAGGGAAGGTGGTGGGTGCTCCATCCTCTTCTACACTTGAATCACGTGCATCTATTGTTCATTGTCTGAAAATCTCGGGGCTTTAGCCTCAAATATCAGTATAAGATTTTAGTCTCTTTCTTTACACATGAATGATGTTACAACCTGCTACTAAAAGTCTTCATTGGCACTGTAGTTTTTTTGAATAACATTGATTTAATAATGTTATAATAATATAATTTATTACAATGTTATAATATAATGTAAATATAAATATTACCCTTCTGAAAATCATGCTATATAGAATATATTTGAATTGCATTCGAGCACCAGTTCGCATTATGCTAATGAATAATGCTAATAATTTCTTAATTTGACCTAACATTAATTTTGACATAATGCTGTGTGCTAATATGATACAGCAAATACCATACATCTATTACTGTGGACTCTTTCCCCCTCCTTATTTGTCTTGAGGCCTTGAATTTTCAGGTAGCAACTTTTTTTTCTGGTGTCTTTTAAATATGTGATTATTATAATGTAAACTCTGAATATGGAAAATTATGTCACCAAACCATACTCATCCTACGAGCTCAATAGAAAGGTGTTCCCCTTCCTTAGCCTCCCGCCATGATGAACCAAGAAAAGAAGTGCAAGAGTAGATGATCATGGAGAAAATAAACCAAGTGAACGAAAGGCTTTTCATGCCTAGAGCGTGGGTGAAGACAAAAAGCGCAGAAGACATGTTACGACCGTAGAAAAACATAACAGAATTTGGTGAATCTGGTGAATGAGTAGTTAGTCTTTAAGAATTAAAAAATTCTCTTTGATATGAAAGCAGTAGGGTTGGAATTTTTCCTCAATGGATTTTCTCACAAATTGGGTATTTTCTTGGTGTGTTCTTTCTGTATATAGAGAACCTTATTTATAAGGGAAGATTTAGCTAGTNATGTTACGACCGTAGAAAAACATAACAGAATTTGGTGAATCTGGTGAATGAGTAGTTAGTCTTTAAGAATTAAAAAATTCTCTTTGATATGAAAACAGTAGGGTTAGAATTTTTCCTCAATGGATTTTCTCACAAGTTAGATATTTTCTTGGTGTATTCTCTCTGTATACAGAGAACCTTATTTATAAGGGAAGATTTAGCTAGCCGTTCAACTAGCCGTTACCACTTAACAAAATATCTTCAACTCTCCAGTATTTCCTCAACCCTCTGCAGTCAAAGTAGGCTAATTATACTCTAAGTGGGATTGACTAGTCTCTCCCTACTTGATGGGTCTTTCTATCCAAGTCACTCATACTGACTAGAAAAGGNAGTATTTCCTCAACCCTCTGCAGTCAAAGTAGGCTAATTATACTCTAAGTGGGATTGACTAGTCTCTCCCTACTTGATGGGTCCCTCTATCCAAGTCACTTATACTGACTAGAAAAGATTTAACCCAAATATCCAATTATATCAATACAATATATGTATTTATGCATCATTATAAAATAATTAATTAATACATAATAATTTGACTAAAAATGCATCTATGATATATATGTCATAAATAATGCAATATTTAACCAACGGATTGGGGTTTTATATATTCCAGATTTGACCACCAACTGTGGCTTAATTAATATCGAGGGATTTTAACCACATATTCNTCAATACAATATATGTATTTATGCATCATTATAAAATAATTAATTAATACATAATAATTTGACTAAAAATGCATCTATGATATATATGTCATAAATAATGCAATATTTAACCAACGGATTGGGGTTTTATATATTCCAGATTTGACCACCAACTGTTGCTTAATTAATATCGAGAGATTTTAACCACATATTTCAACATCTCCCACTTGACTACAAACCCGAGATATTCATTTATAACTTAAATACATAGCAACGACATGTCGTTTAAATTCTTCGGTTCCAATAGGTTTTGTCAATGGGTCTGCAACCATATCTTTTGTACAAAAACAATCCATAGTAAGATGTTCCTTTTATAGTATATCACTTATATAGTGATATTATAACTCAATGTACTTACCTTTAGGCCCGATTTTTCCATTTTTAATGGTNAAATTCTTCGGTTCCAATAGGTTTTGTCAATGGGTCTGCAACCATATCTTTTGTACAAAAACAGTCAATAGTAAGATGTTTCTTTTATAGTATATCACTTATATAGTGATATTATAACTCAATGTACTTACCTTTAGGCCCGATTTTCTCATTTTTAATGGTTTTTTTGTAGCCTCATTATCACAAAAAATATGAATAGGCATATTATTTACACAAATAAGCTTTAAATCAGTTAAAAATCATTTTAATCATACGACTTCGGAGATAGTCATACTACAAGCAATGAATTCAGCTTTCATAGTACTTTTAGCTATGCAACCTTGTTTTTTACTAGACCATGAAATAGCACCACCACCAAAAACAAATATATAACCCGTGGTGGATTTTCTATTATCAATATCACCAGCAAAATCAGCATCACAATAACCATTAACATTTATATCATCAGCTTGATATGTTAAAGAAAAATCTAATGTATCTCGTATGTATCTGAGTACATGTTTTACAGCTAACCAATGAGGTATACCTGGATTACTTTAATATCGACTAATCAAACCAACAACATAGCTACGGTCCGGTCTAGTGCATAACATAGCATATATAAGACTACCAACAACTTCCGCGTAGGGTTTAGATTTCATTTCTTGTATTTCCTCTTCAGTTTTAGGAGTCATATTCTTAGACAATTTTACTACTTTGTAAATGGGTGATTCAATAAGTTTACAAGAATCCATTTTAAATTTCTTTAAAATATTTTCTAAATAAGATTTTTGAGATAAGCTCAATTTTTTTTGTTTTCTATCTCTAGAAATTGTAATTTCAAGTACATAATGTGCTTCACCCGTATATTTCATTTCAAACTTGGTGTTTAACCAATCTTTTAGTTCTAAAATTCTATTTATATCATTTCCGACAAGTAAAATGTCATCCACATACAAGGAAAAAATAATATAATAATAACTCCCACTATTCCAAAAATATATACAATGATCATAGTTATTTGAAATAAAACCATATGATATAATTGCATTATGAAAAGTATGATACCATTGCCTTGATGGTTGTTTTAAACCGTATAAGGATTTATTCAATTTGTACACCTTATCTTCTTTACCTTCAACTTCATATCCTTGCGATTGATACATATAAATTTCTTTTTTAAGTTCACCATTAACGAAAACAGTCTTAACATCCATTTGATGTAACTCTAGGTCTAAATATGCAACCAAAGACATTAATATTCTTATTAAGGTAAACTTAGTTATGAGAGAGTATGTTTCATAATAATCTATACCTTTCGTTTGTGTGTATTCCTTAACTATTAGTTTAGCTTTATATTTATCTTTAGATCCATCTGATTTAAATTTCTATTTAAGGATCCATTTACACTTAATTGCTTTTCTATCTATTGGTAAATCAACTAACTCTCAAACTTTATTTTTCTCTATAGATTCTATTTCTTCTTTAATTGCTTCTCTCCATTTTAGATGATCAATTGAATTCATAGCATCATTAAAATCAATAGAATCATTTGGAATCTCTTCACTATTGAATGCATAATAATCTTTTAAGTAGCTAGGTAGATGTATTTTTCTTTGTATTCTAGTTAAAGTATCCTTGGGTAGAGACTCTTTTATTATTAGCTCTTATGGTTGTTTATTTTCATTTTCTTTAGTAATTGCAAATAGTTCAACCATTTTCTCAATTTTATCTAAGTCATCTTCAAAGAAAAATGCATCTCTACTTTCAATGACTCCCACTGATCCATCACTGTAGTGAATTACAAATCTATAGCCAATAGAATTTTCACAATATCCAATAAAAGTACATTTTATGGATTTAGGATCTAATTTTCCTCTATTAGGTCCTAAAATTTTAACATGAGCTGAACTACCCCAATCTTTTAAGTGGGAAAGATTTGGTTTTGTACCCTTTCAAATTTCATACGATGTCATTCCTATTGTTCTAGATGGTACTCTATTAAAAATATAAATGGTGGTAGAAATAGTCTCACCCCCAAAAAGTAATACTTAAGTGTGCATGACTAAGCATAGATCTAACTATGTCAAGAAGTGTTTTATTTCTCCTTTCGGCTACACCGTTTTGTTGAGGTGTATAAGAAATTGTTAATTGATGTATTATTTCATTTTCTTTACAAAAGGATTCAAAAATTTCAGCCATGTATTCACCACCGCGATCCATCTTTAATATTTTAATTTTTCTACCTAGTTGATTTTGGACTTCCGCCTTAAATTCAATAAATTTTTGTAAAGCATCCAATCTAATCTTTAGTAAATATATATAGCCATATCTTGAATAGTCATTAGTAAAAGTAATAAAATATTTCATACCACAATGAGTTTTAACATTTAAAGGACCACAAATATCCGAATATATTAATTCTAGCAAATTTTTAGCGCTTTCTAATTTTTCAAATGGCTTTCTAGTCATTTTTTCACTTATACAAGATTCACATGGTTTCAAGTCAACATCTAAGTTTGGAATCAATCCAATGTTAGCCATCTTTTTCATTTTATCAAAATTAATATAACCTAATCTCATATGCCATAAAATAGAATCAACATTAACATCACAAGAGACATCAATATAAGCAGAAGAAGAGCCAATTTTATTATTGTCACTAGCAACATTCAAACGATAAAGACCATCAACTTTAGTCCCCCATGCAAGAATATGACAATATTTACCAATAGAAATTTTAGAAGACCGAAAATGGACTTCAAAACCCTTATCATCTAATCGTGGCACAGATAAGAGATTATACCGCATATTAGACTCATAAAGTACATCAGTTAAGAGGAGGTTGTTTTGTCTGGGCAACGAAATTCTCACAGTGTCAATTCCAAGCACATCACAGTAAGTATTAT